TATGACTTATAATGTTTTAAGGCATCAACAGGATCAGCATTAGGGACCAGAGTCAGAAAGAAGACATACAAGTTTCCAGAAAAGTCTTTAAAGTACAAAGTGACTGAACATTTGTGCAATTTGCAACACATCAATATAATTAATATGCTGCTCTTGACATCAATAATTAATATGCTGCTCTTGACACCACTTATTATATAGTACAATGCATTTTGAAGCCTTTATTTCTATTTCCAAATGCAAAAATTAAATGATGTCTTTCACATACCAGAAATAACAACTGTGTTTAATCATAAAAGCATATGTCTCCAAAGTATCACCAAGTTTCTTAAATGGCAGTCCCCAAATTTTCAAATATTAAATATATTTTAATGAATGTTAACTGAATTATGTATGTGATACCATACTGTCAGGAACGAGACATGAGGACCATGGTACCTGACTCTCAGGATTGAGGCGATGAGTAGCAAGGATTTGAAATCAACCAGCAAAGGTTTCATCTCTAAATATGTTAGGAATCATTGCAATAAATTTAAATTTTTTGTCGTAATGTTCTAAATGTAGTAAAGCAATTGAATAACTTATGTAATTTTGTGTGGTGTGTTTTAAACCATAGGCAAAAAGATTTAACCTTAACCTTTCTGTAAATAACAATATAATTGTAGTTCATTTCTCATTCTTTCATTTGACATACAAGTCTCTACTGAATAATGCAGTGTAAAGTTAAGTGAAGCAGGTCTAATTCTGAACTTCAGAAAATTACACTATTTTCACCTTGTAAGAAGATAGGCAACAACAACATTAACAGATATAATACCTGGAGAAATACCAATTGTAGATGTCAGCAACAATTCACATTCAAAGTCTTCCCTTGGGGGCCAGAGAAAATATACGTAAAGTACTCCACGCTTGGCGCACAGTGAGCGTCAACAAAAGGTACTTCTTATTTTTAATGTTGTATTAGTATTGCTGTGTTATTGTTACCTTTCCAAAGTCATTTCCCACCACTCTCTCTGTTGAGCACGCTTCTCCAGATGCACTATCAACCACGCTCCCATCTCAGGCCCCATGAAATTGATTTCTTCCTGGAAAGCACTCCCTGCGGATACCCACATATCTCATTTTCTGCTTTACTGGAAATAATTTTACAACAAGTTTCACTGTTTTAGACTTAGAATTTCTCTTATGCATGAATATTTCCCTAGCAGATATCAAAACAGATGGGTTTGTGTTAAGGATGAAGACCCACAATACATTTGACCCTATCTGAATCGTTTTGTTGTAAAAGGCAAATACACTGTCATGTGTCTATTTTCATAAAGGGGAGAGGTCTCTGTACGAGGCACGTGCTACACTGCCTGAATAGCCATATCCCCAGAGGGCAAAAGAGCAACATGGTTACAGGATGGCTGGAAAGTCACCTCTGGGGCCATGGACCATGCATGTGATCCTAAAATCACTATAATGAATAACAGGGCGGGACATAATTTTTAGTTCACCGGTTAAGGAATACTTTGAACATTAATCAGTGGACTCTGTGGGGACATGTGGCATTGATTTATATAGAAAACCATACATGGTGGTTAAGTACTCCCTTGGCACAGGAGAAATAACCTCTCATTTGCTTCAGATTCTTGAGTCAGACATTCTGTCTTTTCTCACTTCATTTAAATATCTACTCAAATATTACCTCATCCAAAAAGCCTTCTCTGTCTGAAGGAGTGCCCTCTACTTCACTCTATTCTTTCTAATTAATTTTTGTCATATTATGTATAATCACCTAAATATTATAATTTGGTTTATGTTTATTGCCTCTCTCTTCCCATTAGAATGTGTATTCAATGATTCAATGAAAACAGATTTTCTGTTTTGATCCTGTTTTATCCCTAACATCTAGAAGAGTGCCTGGAGCACAACGAATGCTCAATCTTTGTGGAATAAATTATTAATAAATTCTAAGTCTTATTCATCCAATCCTACTTTCTCTTGGATAGCAACATATACAATAACATCTGCTCATTTTTTCTAGGCAAACTTCACTTGAAACTTGGAAAGGGCTCTAGTAAAGAAAGAATGGAGTCTTTACTGGCAGTGCACAGATGACAAAAATATTTAAAGTCACGTATCAGTACAGTTGGTAGGTTGTGCAAAAGCCTGAAACCCCAACAGGTAAAATAAGGGCATGGTCCCAATTCCTGACAATTCCTTAGAATTAAACAGCTCTGTAAATGTCCAATTTTGGACTGGGGCATGTTCTTGGCCCATAATGGTTCATTTGCATTTTATGCAATGTCTTCGAACACAAGAGGAAATCAGACATCTCTCTTTCAGCAAATGCAGTAAGCATGATTTTTCATGTTAACACTGTGACATCCGTCTGTATACTTATGCAATAATGCTTATGAGCAATTGCAAATACCTATATATATGATTTCATAATTAAATATTCTGTCACATAGGAAGCATAATCATAATACAATGCTAAAATATGTGCTCTTTTTGTTGGAATGCTACGGTTGAAATAAGGAAAAGACACTTGAGCAAGGTAGTTATGGGGAATCAAAGATGCAGAGTTAGTGGATAACTAGGACAAAAGTAAAATGATAATTGAGCACAGGTCTCTGATGACCAGCATACTGGTATATGAATACTGACAGTGTGGGATCACAATACAGAGCTGTTCCTAAATGCTCTATGTACTTATAATTCAATTGCATATGAATATATTTGGATTTTAATTTTCCAAACCAACATGCTAACATAACTTTAAGAATGTTGGCTTTAACATCCTTTCCAGGACGAACTGTGATTTATTCTGTTGTATTGCATGTTTGCAATTTAGTCCATTCTCTATCTATTCCCCATAATATTTGTAGAAATCAGCGTGGCTTAAAGAGCCTTACTTTGCTCTGAGCGTCATAGCTCATCTTGTACTAGTATGATAAGTCTGCACACTCACTACTGTTTTCTTTTTTAAAAAACCACTGGAGTTATATTGAGGGGATGGCAGCCTGCTGCCAACTTGTTAGAATCTTTTCTTCCTGCCCCCCAATATTGCTGAAGAAGAGAGGCACTGGACAAGCAAGGTACCAGGAAGCTCCTTCTCAAATGATGCTGCATGGAGACAGGAAGATTTAGAATGGGTAAGGAGAAGGTAATAAACCATTGTATTTCAATTAATAAGATCCTCAATTTAGCCCCCTCCTGCCTAAGATATCCTTGGCACACCTATAAAACCATTTCCTGTATGTATGTTAAGAAAATGTTAGCTCTCCAATGAAACCATAGAATAATTAACAAGGCATTTCTTTAGAAAATAAAAAATGTAAGGAATGAAATCAAAGGATAAATGCACGTTTTAAAACTGTCACTTGATGACGCTTTAAATTTGACATTTTATCTAACATTTTTTCTAACATGTGTTTTATTGTAAATATTCTCATACTAGAACATTAATTCATGTATTCTCAAATAATTTTGTTCCAAGGTCACAGTTGGTAATTTAAATTTCTCTACCACAGAGTTAAATTCATTTATTAATCTTCAAATTTAGCAGTTTTAAAAAATTGTTCTTGGTGAAGAGAACAAATTTGAAAGCCTGCTGAATTTAAAATTATGGACTCTATATTACTCTGAGAATCTTATTTGCTGTACCAAATGCAACCTGCAATCCCTACAGTTATATAGCTTTTCCACGGACAAGCACAAAATACTTAGGAAAATTTCACACATACGTGCCTTATTTCCTGAGAAGTTTATATGGCAGACAATCTAACATTATTATTAATGTCATTTCACAAAGTCTTCTGCATGTTTATATTTCAACAAGACTGAGCTCCTATAAAGGCATCATTTTGCTGTAATGTTGTTAGGCTGCTGCTTCTTTTGATATTCTGCTTTGAATTTATGAAAGCAAGAAACTGTGAGGTTGTTATATTGGGAAAACTTATGTTAAGAAGTGAATCTGCCAGTCCTTCTTCTCTATTTTTATGTAGAAACATAGTATGCCAAATATACAGGTTTCCAAATAAATTAGCATGTTGAACTACTATATGATCTAAAATGCATAAAAACACTTCTTTTTCTATGGCATTACTAAAAATTAATTACATTGCCAATATTATCAACTGTGTCTAAAACAAGTTGGGACTATAAAAATGTCTGATAGTGAAAAAGCAAAAAACAAAGAGATAGGGATACACTAGGTTAAGTTATAATTGACAGTATTAGAGAACAGAACGTAATTTTCCTGCACTCAAACAATGCCGGTGGGCATAAAAGTAAAGACAAAATCAAATGTTTTCTGAACTATACCCAAACTACACTATATAGTCACTGTTTATTCAATTTTCATTTTATGTAAAAGCTGAAATGCTCCATTTCCCGCTTTAAGATCACATTGCTGTAAGTAGCATCTTATTACCTGCTTTATGCAGAATATTTTCATGCTTGCGAAAACTAGCTATGAAAGTAATAAAACTTGAAATGAGTCTCCGAACGCCAGATATTCCATATCGTCACATAAAGATAACGCACTTTTAAGACTCAATATAGCAACTATGTACTAAGGAAACAGATAAGGATGTGCTGATCAGTCACAGCTTTTATTTTGTCAAAGTTGGCCTAACTCAATGTCAGAAAGAGTTTCTGTGATTCATAACACTTGTACAAAGAATTGCATTTAAACATCTGAGCCACGGAGTGTATTTATAGAACATTCGTAATTACAATAAACATTTCTTAGAATTGAAACAGAATTCTTAATGAAAATAGAAGTAAACTCATAACCCACATCCCAAATTTCCAGTAATTATCAAGACGTATTCGTTATTGCTGTTTTCTTTTATAAACTTAGAGGAAACGGTTTCTGAGAGACCCTGATTGGCTGAATACAAACTCAGAGGTTATTATAACACTTTCTATTTAAACCCTAAACATGAATTGTAGAGGTTAAGTTAACTTAAGTTACGGCTTTCAGTTATGCGACCAAAAACTCTTACCTTGCTGTAGAATCTTCTATATTGTCATCAGCCATCATCTCCAAATCTTGTGCGCGTTTCCCACAAGCTTCTTGGAATAAATTCTTCTCTGGAACTGCCTTAGGAGTATCTTCATTTGCTTGAAAATGTACTATCAGATTATGTTGCTGCAAATTCTGAACGGCTCTCTGATGGGCAGGGGCCGGTCCTGGCACTGGTGCCAGTATATTGTGGTGGACAGGACTGTTGCTTTTCTTCAGTCCGTTTCTGTCCCGAGAGTGGCTCTTCAACCTGCCCTGAACCGGGGTCCCTCTGTGCTCATATCCTTCCTGCTGAAGACAGCTTCCAGTGTTGGTGGAACCTTGAAAAGGATGACTAAACCACCTCCAGCGTAGCCTTAGGATCTGTTTCACATCAAACTCTTTCTTGCCAGACACTGACATTGTAGCAGGAGGAAAGACAAAAGCCTTCTCTCACAGAAAGGAAACGGAGCCTTTGTTATCTCTTGTTTTTCTGCCTCTTCTGTAGAACTAACAAAAGCACAAGTGCCAAGAGCAGTCTTTCTTGCTTTCTCTCCCCTCCCCCACTGCCTATGATACACTGTGAATACTTGTAGCCTTCTAGCAGAAGCAGAGGGCTGCAGCTAACCGTGTAGGTGGGAACCCATGCTGACAGGATGATGAGGTCAGACCTTAAGCAAGTAAATCAGCTTACCACAGGAAAGCAGCCACCACAGCACTCTCCAGCTGTTAGATTTGCAGGCTTGTAGTCCTCCTGCTTGGACTTGCAAATATCTAGTCCTACTTCTTCAGTATCAAAGTACAGTAGCTGCAGTAGAAACCCAGGCAAGTGAGCCAAAGAGAAGTGTTTAAACTTATTTTCTTCTAGATGCCTTCTACTCACGCCTCCCCTGCTAGATTCCTTTCTCAGTAGCCCACTTCTAAAAATGTACCACTTTGTTCCATGATAATGTGCGACAGAGGAATTCATTATAATCTATTTTGAGATTCCTTTTATGGAAACTTTGAAAATGGTTCATTAAGGGAAAACATCAGTACCCTCATGCAGGTTTGTAATTAGTTTTTTACAAAACTAATCTGAACATGTGAAAGTCTCTATATGAATATTTACCTGAAAACTTGACAAATTTTAGAAACATAAGATAGCATTGGTTACCCATGATCACTCACACAGAAACACACCATTTGGGAATGGAGAAATGATATTTTTAGTCTACATATGGAGGAAGAAAGCAGTGCTTTTCCAAGCTAGTTAGGTTAAAAGAGATGTCTTCTCTCAGTGACCACAGCTTGAAAATGAATAGTTCATTCTGGCTCCATGCCTGGATACACACCTTCTTATCAGGCCCTTTACTTTCACAGGCAATGTTAAAGGTTTGTTTTCTTTGCTCAAAAACCCTTATGAGAGGATGAACAGAGTGTGTTTTGAATTAACTCCAAATCATCATACTGCTCAGGAATAACTGTGCCCAAAGCACTTTGAGATCTGAAGCATAATCACTGCTTTGCACAGATGTACATGTTTACAAAAGACAGTCATGTATCAAGAATGCATTTGCCACTGACATTTTGAAATTCAGTTTGTTACTTTATCCAGTTCTCATGTCACACATACAGGCGATAAAGGGGAAATTATGCTAGTGTATGCCTAGAAAGAACACTGAAGTTGTAAGATTTTGCTTTTAGTTTAGCTTTATGGTTAATGAGCTGTGTGACCTTGGACAAGTCACTTTACTTTTTTGCATCTCAATTTCTTCATATATATGATACAGAGTCTAGACAGATTTCTATGTTTTCAAAAGCACTCAGATGCGATGGATTTAAAAACAACTGAAGAGAGAATAAAATGAATCTCCCTAAGTTTTGATAGGCATTTTTATCCATGGTTTTCTTTGAATTCAATTATACCTCTCCCTTTCTCCTCTTGTTTCTGTAGGTGTGATGGTTAATTTATGCATCAACCTGACTGAGCTATGGGATGCCCAGATATTTGGCTAGTCTGGATGTTTCCATGAGGGTTTTTTTTTTTTTTTTTTTTGATGAGTTTAACTTTTAAATTGTTAGACTGAGTAGAGCATATTCTCCTCTCTAATTGGGTGGGGCTCATCCAATCAGTTGAAGGCCTACATAGAACAGAAGGCTAACCTTTCCCTCAATAAGAGAGAATTACTCTTGCCTCACTGCCTTCTATCTGGAACATGGGATTTCTTCCTGTCTTTAGACTTTAACCGAAACATTGCTTCTTCTTGGATTTCAAGTCTGCCAGCATTTGGGCTGGAAATATACCATTGGCTCTCCTCAGTCTCCAGCTTGCCAACTGCGGATCTTGGGACTTGTCAGGCTCCATAATCATGTCATCCAATTCCTTATAATAAATCTGTGTGTGTGTGTGTGTGTGCGCGCGCATGCGCGCATGTGTGTACATGTAGAGGAAACAAACTGTAAATATCAGGCAGAATAAATAAAATGTTGTAACAGAAATGTAAACAACATGTGGTAGGAGCAAGATGAAGTACTAAATTATCCATCTAAGTAACTCTAAATAATACCTTTTCATATATCAGGAGTCTATAACCTTATTTTTCTAACATGTTCTTTGAGCTTGTTATGATTTAGATATAATTGGGAATTTGCCTGTGTACCTCTTACCATAAGATGAAGATGAACTAATATCTGTCAAAATCTAAACTTTAATAGCACAGTGTTCTGTAAGAATTTACCAAGAATGTGCTTTTTCACTGTATGCTGAATATGGTCATTTTCCTGGATCTTAAACAAGGAATCATAGAATGACTAAGAAAGTTTTAGGTCTCCTAGAAAAAAATAAAAAGAATAGTATTTTTATGAAACATGAAGACTCCTTTTACATTTCTGATTACAAAAGAAAGATTTAAGCATATTCAAACAGAAATGAGGAAAACGTCTGTAAGGAAAGGAACCATGTCTTATTAATAATTTCCTTCCCTTTGCCTTACTATCTACTTTGCACCCACCTGGTCATATTTGATCTATGCAGATTTAATGCATAACAAATTCTAAGTGAAATTCTTGTATTAGGGTTCCCTAGAGTAACAGAACTAATAGGATATATAGATATACTATATGTATAATCAATTGTACATAATATACAATATAATATATAATAATTAATATATATTGATTATATATTATTGTATATATTAGTTATATATATATATTCCAAATATATAAATATAGAAGTTAATTAAGTATTAACTTACATGATCACAAGGTCCAAGAATGCGCTGTCTGCAAGCTTGAGGAGCAAAGACAGCCAGTCTGTGTCTTAAAACTGAAGAACTTGGAGTCCGATGTTTGAGGCCAGGAAGCATCTAGCATGGGAAAAAGATGTAGGCTGTAAGTCTAGGCCAATCTCACCTTTTCGCCTTTTCACGTTTTTCTGCCTGCTTTATATTTGCTGGCAGCTGATTAGATTGTGCCACCAGACTAAGGGTGGGTCTGCCTTCCCCAGTCCACTGACTCAAATGTTAATCTCTTTTGGCAACATCCTCACAGACACATCCAGGATCAATACTTTGCATCCTTCAATCCAATCAAATTGACACTCAGTACTAACCATCACAATTATTATCATATAATTTTTTTTTTTTTTTGAGGCGTAGTCTCGCTCTGTCACCCAGGCTGGAGTGCAGTGGCGCGATCTCGGCTCACTGCAAGCTCCACCTCCCAGGTTCACGCCGTTCTCCTGCCTCAGCCTCCCGAGTAGCTGGGACTACAGGCGCCTGCCACCACGCCCGGCTAATTTTTTTTGTATTTTTTAGTAGAGATGAGGTTTCACCGTATTAGCCAGGAAGGTCTCGATCTCCTGACCTTGTGATCCAACCACCTCGGCCTCCCAAAGTGCTGGGATTACAGGCGTGAGCCACCGCGCCCGGCCCACATAAATTATTATCATATAAATTTACTTTATCAATGAAAGCCAGAATTGTAAAATAAAAGAAAAATGCAAAATAGCTATGGGACTAAAATACCATCTAAATAATTACTGATTATACAGGTGGGGGAATAAGCCTACAAACCAGTTGAATATTTAGGGCAATTTAAAAGCCATGAACTTTTCGATATTGTATTTTAGCAAAACCCTGCATAGTAAATTAAGTTAGTCAGCTACTAGGACACTATAGTGGTGAAGATTATTGAAAATTACTTGGGAATACTTCGTTTTATTTCTTTCCCATAATTATTTGATTCTACAACTCAAAGAAAAATTACATAGCCAGACATCTGTGTATTAAAAGCTACACATTAACAACCTTTTCATGTGCTTAAGTGGAACTATTTCACTTGGCATGAGATGCATTATCCAGCACTAAAATAGTCAAAATAAAAGTAATATCTAATTTTTTTTTTTTAAATTTATTTATTATTATTAAACTTCAAGTTGTAGGGTACATGTGCACAACGTGCAGGTTTGCTACATATGTATACTTGTGCCATGTTGGTGTGCTGCACCCATCAACTCGTCATTTACATCAGGTATAACTCCCAATGCAATCCCTCCCCCCTCCCCCCTCCCCATGATAGGCCCCGGTGTGTGATGTTCCCCTTCCCGAGTCCAAGTGATCTCATTGTTCAGTTCCCACCTACGAGTGAGAACATGCGGTGTTTGGTTTTCTGTTCTTGTGATAGTTTGCTAAGAATGATGGTTTCCAGCTGCATCCATGTCCCTACAAAGGACACAAACTCATCCTTTTTTATGGCTGCATAGTATTCCATGGTGTATATGTGCCACATTTTCTTAATCCAATCTGTCACTGATGGACATTTGGGTTGATTCCAAGTCTTTGCTATTGTGAATAGTGCTGCAATAAACATACGTGTGCATGTGTCCTTATAGCAGCATAATTTATAATCCTTTGGGTATATACCCAGTAATGGGATGGCTGGGTCATATGGTACATCTAGTTCTAGATCCTTGAGGAATCGCCATACAGTTTTCCATAATGGTTGAACTAGTTTACAATCCCACCAACAGTGTAAAAGTGTTCCTATTTCTCCACATCCTCTCCAGCACCTGTTGTTTCCTGACTTTTTAATGATCGCCATTCTAACTGGTGTGAGATGGTATCTCATTGTGGTTTTGATTTGCATTTCTCTGATGGCCAGTGATGATGAGCATTTTTTCATGTGTCTGTTGGCTGTATGAATGTCTTCTTTTGAGAAATGTCTGTTCATATCCTTTGCCCACTTTTTGATGGGGTTGTTTGTTTTTTTCTTGTAAATTTGTTTGAGTTCTTTGTAGGTTCTGGATATTAGCCCTTTGTCAGATGAGTAGATTGCAAAAATTTTCTCCCCAAAATTGAGAAATGGGATCTCATCAAACTAATATCTAATTTTGAAAGGTTGTATGCTAAGCACACAACTTTAAAACAAGTCTGTCCTAAATCACCGCATCAAAAATCACTACAAAATTTTGAACTATGTAAAAAACATTAATGTTGACTCATGACTCAAGTCACCCCAGCAAAAAGAGATCAAATAATGGAATAACATTGCTATAATAAAACTCCTTCCATTTACATCCACTTATTTAGGTAAACAAACATTTTCAACACTCATGTCTGTAAAAACAAACAAAAATAAATTAACCGATGCTGACTCCTGTCTTATTCTTCCTCAATAAAAATTATATTTAGAGTCAAAAAATTTAAAAACTAAAATTCATGTATTATTTTTGTTGTAAAAGTACTATAAGGTAATCAACAAAATACTTTCAAGTAAAAATATGTTAC